GCCCCTTCAAGAATTTTAATCACCTTAAAACACCATTGATTGCCGATGGAAAGCTGCAACTCTGTACTCAGAACTTATGGTTTTAAAATAACGAGTGTTCTTTTAGTCGCCACCATCTCCTGCAATACAGGACCCGAAACACTGGTCTCCAAATCACGCAGTGGGATTCGAACCCGAGACGTGAGACTTTTCGACTATAAAGAGCAAACGCTCTTATCACTGCCCCACGCGGGCGACAAGTTAAAAAAAAAGAAAAGAAATTTACACATTTTAATACTTATGATAAAAAATAGTAATATTAATATTAATGCTACAAAAACATATTCTTGTACATGTGCTAAATCACCAAGAATGGAGAGCAACACTTCGTATGTCCCCATGCGTTGTTTTAGTTCTCTCTGTAGTATCCAAAGCTATATTGACACCCATATACATATTATTTTTTAAATATCAGCTTCGAGTTTCAGGTGTACAAGTTGGATTGAAATATACTCAATAACAAGTTCTAAGACAACAGTATAGCATTTATTGGGTTTCCGTCTTCAATCCGATATGCTTAAAGACAGTCCTCCGCTAAAAAGATCATAATATTTTATAAAATATTATACATAATTTACTTTCTAAATAATTACCTTTATATCTTTATATTCCGTTTCGTAAAAAAAAAAAAAAAAAGCAAACGAAATTCTCATTTACCTGCTAAATTATTGTGACATATTCGATTTATAAAAAGTAAAATATCTACCCAGAAGTATGTTTCCTCCTGTAGACAAGCAATACTGTAAATTTTTCATCTATATTACGGGAAAGAACACAATTATACTGTCAAAAGCACATTCTGAAAATTTAAGAAGCAAAGTGCAGCAATTTTATTAGTTTGACCAATCGAAGTCCAGAAAAAAATGAATACATGAAAATTGTATTCTGAAAATCATTTAGTAAGTCAAATACCTGCAAAAGAATTATACAGACTGCGACGACGGTAAGATAAAATGAAAATCCAAGTTGTAGGTGGCTAAATTTGGTTACTACTAGAAGGCCTACAAATACACATATATAAATATTCACGAATTATACAGACAGAAAAAAAGCTTACCTGCAAAAATGTCCAAACTCGAAAATCTTATTGGGGTGGGACTATTTCTTTCATAATAACAGAATTGATAAATTAAAAGGATATTGTTTTTGTTCGATTTTCATCAATACATTACATTTTTTGTTTATATGATATATCGAAAAATTAAAAAAAAAAAGTTGTGTTTGTGGGTGCACGTGAGGGGTTAGCCTTTCAATGAACATTTTCCAGAGTAAAAAAAGTTTGAAAAAAAGTATATTTTTCTCTGAGCTATATATATAGATCGAAAGATTTATGATAATGGATGTAATGCCATAATTTTTAAAGAATAAGTGAAATTCCACCAAGAAAACATCTTAAACAGATTGATCACAAGAACACAAGAGTTTCTTGTGAAAAGCTGCTGCGGAAAGTGACCATTACAATCACAGTAATAATATTAATGCTGATAAATTTCTGTTTTTCATAGTTGATAAGTAAGAATTATAAGCCGTAATTGAAGCAAGTTTCCGACACAATTGAAATACATTTATTTAAAATTAATACGAAAAAAATATATATTGTATCACATCATCTTTTAATCAGTCAGATGACAAGAAACTGTACGATTATGCTTTCATTTACATCGAGTGTGACTTTTTTCAACTCGATTAAAAATGTTCAGAACAGTTTGTAAACTATAAACATCCGAACAAAAGCGCATAAGAAGTTTTGCGTCAATTTCAAAATATAATCGAATGGTATGATATTCCATTATCCAGAAAATTGACACTACTTTCACAATAAATTCTGCGAAGAGGAAATCTGGATACTGATAACTTTTATCAGTGTTTATAGATAACCTGTATTAAGTGCTTTATTACATCCTTTTAAGAAACATTAATTGTAATTAAGGTAAGTCTATTATATGCTTTGATTTCAGATATTTTAATTTACACACGAGACATGCGTATTTAATATTTTGCTTCATGTAATTCTATCCTGTTTTAATGAATATGATACAATGAGGCCCCCTTTATAGGCCCCTTTTATGACCTATGACTTCGAGGAGAACAATAAAACTACGTAATGGGAAAGATTTGGGAAACTGCATGTCGTCGGTAAAATGGTCATGAACATACTGTGCGCATTTTCGCTATTAATATATACCCTAGGTGAGAATATAAAATTTAATCGACCCAGTTCAGCTCTTTTGTCACATATTCAACGCATTGTTTAAGGTTTCGTCAAAGGTCAACTTGTCCATAAAATTATTTTTACAATAGTTCCAAAACTGTGTGAGGTATTAAGTAAAAACTATTTATACATTTTTCATCGATTAACAAATAGGAAGTATCACTTGATACAAAATACTTGGAAAGAAATATTAATTCAGAAAAAAATCTTTTTAAAAATGCAAGCCATATATTTTTCAAAAAATACACTTAGTTAATTCCGTGCTCTCAGTGAAAATCATCAAAATATATTTATCAATGAAGGGCAAGTTGGACTTGGAAAGCCTCTGGAAAGTTGTTTTCCCTTTTTATTTTGTCCAAATGTTAAGACTTAATTGAAAGCGAAAGTAAATTGCAAATGGCGTATTCTATAGGGGTCTTGTTTTTCACGTCAAACTTGCCTGATTTAAACATATATTATTTCTGCAATGATGGTTTTCACAAAAAGGACAAAATTAAGCAGCATGGCTCGTATATAGTTTTGTCTATTGTAAAGATGATAAACCAAAATATCCAATTAAGGATGACGTTTACTCAGGTTTCGGAAATCAGAAAGGAAATTTCATAAAGTATAATATATTAAATCAAAAATTGTTTTAAATGGATAAAATTATTTAGTTTTAACACAATATCAATTTTAAAATTTCATATTTTATTATTTGAAGAAAATATACGGGAACAAAAGTCACTGTATGGTAAGGCAGAGGAAATTCGGACTAAATTTTCAATTTTTCATTTTTGTCAAAATCTTTTATTTCTTGTAATATCTATCAAATGTAAAGGTTGTATGTTTTTTCAGACATCATTTTGCAAATTTTATTTGCCTTAAAGCTAACAAATTATTTCAAATAATTTAATGCTATCAAATAAAGAAATTCAGAAAAATGAACAAAAACCATTTTAGGCAACATATCTCAATAATTTGATCATTGACCCCATATAACGTTAATACCATGAGAATTACGGCAACAAAGGTAAAATGAGGCTATAAATAATTCAGAGTTCTTATCAGTCAGATTTCTTAAATATGCGTTTAAAAATGGGGGGAAAATATAAATATGACAGAGGAAATTCGGACTGTAATAATTATCACGTTTATGGCTCAAACTCTAATCATTTCTTTATATGGAGCAACTCTGTTCCATTGCTATAATATTCCATAATTTAAAGAGTTTTGTTGCTTGTATTTTTTTTGTGAGTGAAGAAAAAAGTGGTCATAGTGTGAAAAATTGAGGTATTTCCTGAGAAATACTCAAGGGCCCTTAGAATGAAAACGAGATCATTGACCTAGTTATTTGAAATTAAAATTCAACACAAGAATCATAGGTGTACACTGTGCAATAGGTGGTTTTTCGTTCTTATCAGTGGAATTTTTAGTCATCTGAGTAAATTAAGGTATACCCTAAAAATTGTTAGAATTATTTCCTTATTTTCAAACTTCATATTTGGGAAATCTAAATAAATTTTACGCTTCTTTATTATTATCAGAAGTTTCGTAGATATGAAGAATACGCAGACTTAAAATTAGAGTGGCATTTTTTCATTTACGTAAAAAGTAATAATTTGCTTTTTCCATATGAATTTTAAAAGGCACACTTCTTATGCAAGACTCATAGTTTTCAGTGTGCTATTTATCTTATGTATTTTTTTAAAAAGATTTCTCATTGAACATCTCTGTCTCTTTCATTTTTGAGGCAATTTCATCTGTAATTTTAATAGGTTTGGTTTGTTTTAAGGATTTCAACTCAATAAGTTATTTAATCATGCCGTGCTTAAGTTATTTTCAAAAACGGTTTCCAATATTTAAGTCAGATAGTGACTTTTATGCCTATACGAATTCGGACCTCCAAAACATTAGAGGTGCGATCAGGTGCCATGGAGGAGTGAACATCACCTGTTGACCGGTCACACCCGCCGTGTGATCCTTGTCATGATCGGGAAATAACGGAAAAATCCGTCGTCAATTCAATGTATAAATAATGGACTGACAATTAGTATGAAAAACGTCAGCATTTAACTTAATGATATATTATATTTGCTGACATGGTCATTGTATCCATCATAGAACTTACGAAATGATTACTTTAAACGAGAGAGCTGATATTCTTGTTTCATCAACTTGCTTGTCATTAATCTACCTCGTTTTAGAAACTGTTCATACATAGAGTATGCTCTTGCATATCGAATTCTCTGAGATGTATACACTCTGTATGCAGGTGATGAAGGTACATGTATATTGTTGCATAAGTTAGGGAAGTTGACGATAGAAAACTTAAGGTAATCATGTTTATCATATAGCTTGGTAGTTAGATTACCATGAACGTCTTTTTCAAGTAAAATATCCAAGTATGAAACAGATGTGTCAGACTCTGTGGTATCTTTTATCTCAAGATCTCCAGGATCTATCGTATTGACGTAGGAATGGAAATTATCATTGTTAATTGACAATACGTCGTCGATATATCGAAATGTCGAGTTGAAGGCCAAAGCAAGTGTTTTCCTCTTTTGACGCATAAGATTTTGCTCAAATTCTGCTTCAAATGAATATAAAAATAACTCTTCTAATAACGGACCACAATTGGTACCCATGGGAATTCCAATAGATTGTTGGAAGACCTGGTCCCATAGATATTGTCAATAAAAAACTCAAGAATCTTTTTATATGTCAACTTCAGAGTCTTTGTGTGTGCAATCAGAATGTGTTTTAACAAAACAATTTGCAAATGACTTATGATCAGGTAAGCAAATTTACGAGTTCCATCTTTATTGAAAAGCAGCTGTGAATAATATTTAAAAGCCTGGGTTTTGAGTTAACGTTGGTAATGATTATGTATAATGTTGAAAAGTCGTAAGTTTTCAAGATGTTTATTTTGGTAAAATCTTAGGAATTTAATTTGTCCAAAAGTTCTTTGGAATTTTTGAGTACCAACATCTGATTCACGCCACTTCTTGAATGTTGTGAAATCACAATTTTTTATTGTTAGGGTAGTTCAAATTCATTTTGGCTCTGTGACATTCGTTGGTCCTGTCAATTTAGTGGTTAACTTGACGGTAGTTTGGAGACTTTTCAAAAAAATAGCTATAAGCCACAACTTGACCAACATTTTCGTTTGGATATGTATAAGTTAAAATTAAAATACAAATTCTGTGCAAATGAGACCAATGGCCAAGTTGCGACTCGATGTAAACAATGTTGTTGAAACTGGTATGCATATGAATAACAATAAAAATGTAACAAAACTGTTACTTCTAAAAAGTAAGTGTTGTTCGGCATTATTTAGTACTTTCGTGTAATATAATATACCAAATCCTGCTCTTAAGACATTGTTTAATACCTATAAAACATGAATTTAATGAAATTCGGGATTTTATTTTGCGCAAAACGTCGGGACCCATCTCTCATAGCTTAAATGCACTCATCCTTTGGTTTGTGTCAATTCGATTGCATGGATGGATGTAAATGTTAAGTAGTAATGAAAATACAATTTTACATTCCGTAGTGGTCATAAATTCGTGGGTCTCTCCATATCTTCTAATCTACGAAAATTAAACCCCGCGAAATTTTGTATTTTTTCAGTATACGCTGTAATAATATGTTTTATCTGGCTTTCCTTGAAAGTATATAACCTACGAGTAGATAAAATCTAGAATCTAATCATGCCTCAGAATATAATCTTAATAGACTTCCTCTACTTTATGCATTTTATGTATTCTTATGCTTATAGGCAAGCTCACCGCAGCTTGT